GGGGGTTGGACTGGATGATCTCCTGAGGTCCCTTCCCACCCCACCACCCTGTGATTCTCTGATTTGAAAATCCCTTTAGCAGTTGTCAGGGTGCCCCTGCACAGACAGAAAAACCTGGATCCCTTTGTCTCTTCCCTCTCAGGAGCCAACAAGGTGGCTGTCAAGGACGAGACGTTGGCAGCAGAAGCACTGGATGATCTTGACAAAATAAAACCAGTTCCTCCCGATCCAGAGGGGAAGGAAGAGACGCCCGCGGCCGCAGCAGCACAGCCCGAGGCGCAGAGGGAGCAGCAGGGTGGCCAGGAGGGTGAGTGACCAAGGGGTGACACCCAAAATCCCACTGTCACCCCTACACAACACACCCTGTCCTGCTGCTGGGCTCTGCTGCGTGGAGCCTGATGTCTCCTCAACACACTCTGTTGTTTTTAGGGGCAGATGCTGCCATCCCAGAGGATCCCAACACCAAATTTCCTGGCCACCCGCAGCCGATGGAGAGCGCGATGGGCAGCAGCAGCCCTTCAGCAAAGGGCAGCGTCTCTCCAGGTGCCGAAACAGGAGGTGAGTCGGTGGGCGAGGGCGGTGGTGGGGGCTTTGCTGAAGGGCTGAAGCAAAGCTGGGTGAGGGCTGAACTCTTGTTTTGTGTGTAATCAATATATAATTAATTCTGTTCGTGTGAGTTTTGCTGTGCAAATGCCATCTCCCACGAGTGGCGGAGCCCACGGGAGCAGTTTCCCATGGGGCAGAGCTGGGAGAGGTTGGGAAATGCTCTTCTGTCTGCGTAGGTGTTTGGATTTTGGGGCTAATAACCTGTAAATCCAGACTGACTCCAGGGAGAGGTCTCAGAACCTGTGTTGTGTGACGGAGTCCTCAGCTTTCCCCGAGTGCAGTAGAATCATAGAATGGTTTGGGCTGGACGGGACCTTAAAGCTCATCCAGTCCCAACCCCCCTGCCAGCAGCAGGGACACCTTCCACTACACCAGGTTGCTCAAAGCCTCACCCAGCCTGGCCTTGCAGGTCTAATCCCCAGCACCTTAAACCAGGTTTAGAGTCAGGAAATACAGGTGAGTTTTGTGTCTCTGATGCTCCTCCCAATCTTTAGCATCCCCGTTTCCTACAGAGATGGAGCTGGAAGGGAAGGAGGAAGAGGGGGAGATGATGGCAGAGGATGAAGAAGAGGTTAAAATCCCTGAGGAAGAGCCACCCCGGTTAGAAAACGGAGACAACACGGAAGATAACGAGTCGGGGAGCACCGACTCCGGGCAGGAGAACTCGGTTGAAACTCGTCTGCTGCGTTCGGGCACTTACAGCGACAGGACCGAGTCCAAAGCCTACGGCTCCGTCACGCACAAGTGTGAGGTGAGGCCAGATGTGGCCCTGAGGGGCATCACTGGTCCCTTGGGGACACCGAGTGTCACCGGCCACGCCTGCGCCCGTCTTTGTCCCTAGGATTGCGGGAAGGAGTTCACCCACACCGGGAACTTCAAGCGACACATCCGTATCCACACCGGCGAGAAACCCTTCTCCTGCAGGGAGTGTAACAAAGCCTTTTCCGACCCAGCTGCCTGCAAAGCCCACGAGAAGACACACAGGTACGGCAACACCGGGGACCCAGAGGTGACACCGGGCTGAGCTGGGTGGAGAAAGGCTTGTGACAATGGCAGTGGCTGGGTGAGGGCTGACTGTGATGG